ATGGGGAGAAAAGAAGCAGGCTAGCACGGGAACTGTCTGTAGAAACTAACTATGTTTTTGTTGCAGACGTTTTTCAAGGAATGTAGAACACGCATGACTGACTTTATAGGTGGAAAATAAACACCCATCTAAAAGTGTGAGAGATACATTCACATCAGAAGAACAGTATATATTTCAAGAAATCTCATACTGTAGGATTAGGGAGATCTGGACGCTGATATTTTGGCCAATGAGCAGTCTTTAGCAGTTTAACTGGTATTTCGTGTACCGTCAACTTGTCGCGAAGCTCCAACTGTAGGAATGGACCCTATAGAATCATACAAGATAAAACAGCACACCTTGTAAATCACATTTACAGAACTAAGAAACAAACTTGCTCAGGCTTTTGACGCAGTTTCATCTTCAAATGAGAACGAGATCCAGCAACGCTCTTCTCAAAAACTTCTATATCGAGTTCCATAACTATTTCGTTTCTTTCGTCGGACACTCCCACAAAGTTCTGAACTGTCGATTATCCACATTAAGATCCAGATGGAGATAAAAGCTAGCTAGAGCTCTTTGAGAGTTAGTGAACCATGCTTGAAAGCTCAACTCTACTCGGCAATTGATTTTATATGCAACGAAAAAATTACAAAAGTAGAATACAAAACCCACGAACACATCAAAGTCCGGTCTTGCAGGGATTAGAACATTTAAAAAATTCCCTTGCTGTTGAAGTGTTTCGTTTGCCACAAAGCACATTCCTGAAGACTGGTCGTCAACCCATTTTTGGTAGAGAGAATAAAGTCTACCTTCTTGTGTAATTCGCAATCCGCATCGCTTTTTACACATCTTTGCAACGGCACCAATACCTTCTGAAAAGAAATATTTTTTTGAAGGACCATAATTCTAATTCTGATACGACTTACTTGCGAATGATTCGACGCTTCCTTGCTCGGATAGCACGGCAGAGAACCGCATTGCTAAAGTTACCTTAGCATGTGCCAACTATGAAAGAGACTAAGTAGTACAGAGAGGTTTGAACTCGAACTTCCATCAAAACAAACTTAAATCATTTAATTTATTCCGGAATAAAATTCAATTCGATTTGTCATCAGCAAGGAGAGATACACCGGAATTCTGTAAAAGAAAAGGTAAGAAACACTCATTCAAAATCAATTACCGGTAAAGTGTACCGTAATGAAGAACTCTGCTGTGAGCTTCGGCGAAAACGGAGATTTCATTAAGGTAATGCTTCTTGAGGTCTTAGGTCCATCCGATGCTCGTTCCAGCCAGATTCTAATAGTTGGACGTCGTGCAAGAACATGGAAGAGAAATGGAGCTGTTGCCCATTCTTCCGACGACGGATCTCTTCGGGAGGCCACATGATTGACATAGATTACCTATTTAGAAAAGAAAACTAATGAGATCGAGAAAAAATCAAGAAATTACATCAAGAGGTTGAAATACACAGAATCCCATTAACATGGAGCACTCTAAATGCTAGATATACATATAAGAACTTACTGCTACATTATGACGAACAGCCACGTTACACAAAATTACGAGCACTCTTCTCCAATTTTGAAGATCTTCTCTGTGAAGTCTGCCACGGAAGAATGTCGCGATGGAGTCAATAATCAATACTGAAGTCTGAATTGCCAAGTTCGAGAGTCAAACAGGCCATTTTGGAGATTCTTATCGTAGCAGCCCTCTCACCATGGTCAATAATGGTATTCAAAAAACACTGGAAAACGGAAAATAGATGGGGGACCATTGGACTGATTCTCTTAACCATGATCTTCTGGGCACAACTTATAGATTAGGAAGGGCTATAGCAAAAAAGCTAAAAAAAATTCGCTGTAGGTCAGACGCAAAAGATGAATCCAATCCATGGTTAATCAGGGAGAGTAAATGGTATCGCCGAGATGTACGTCTCAGAACGTTGTCCCTAAATGCTACCGACCACGTCCTATCAGGATGCTGATCGTAACACTAAAGAATTACCTTGTTTATTTCCTCAGCTGATTGTTCTAACTTGGTTAACACATGCATGAATTGTTCCATGGTACTCGGTGACGAAATCAATAGATGCTGTAGAGCTTCTTCAACATTCTCTGCACGAAATTCCAACATCTAGAATATAAAGACTACTACTCGAATTGCATGGCTTTACAAAAAAATAGGTATTCTTTGTGTGGCAACACAAAATTGATTCTTTGCTTGTATTCACTAAGGTGATGATAAGACTTCCGTATAACAATCAGCATATCAAAAGCAGTTCCCTTAGTTTCCCAAAAATTATGTAACAAACCTGATGAACCCTTTTCACTGAAAATCCTCGTTCGGTTTCCACGCATACCACATCAAGACCATTTGCAATTGAAACTGCTGCGAGCTGCATACTGAATTGATTGAAATAATGCTGTTCGGCCTTATAACCCTCATCTACTTCTCCTATCGGCTAACCCTAATTAACTTGAAAGAAAAAAAGAAACTGAACACAAAAAATAACCATATTTGTGACTTGCCACATCCTGCCTCGCCTGAAATCTCGGTTACAGTGCCAGGAAGAAAGCCACCACCTATCCGGAAATGTTATATAGACCTTATCCTCCTTATCCGAAAAAGAACCAACAAGCTTACCTATTAAATCATCTAGGAGCGGACAACCCGACGACAGAGGGCCTGAACTAGACGATTCGAAATCGAGCAGCTCTCGGGCGTTTTGAAAGATTACTGTTGGACTTCTCGACATGGATCTAGTATAATTGTTTCCCTTCAAATTATTGCGTAGATGAGGAAGCTGTACAATACGGTAGAAAATACTGTTACCCCTGTAATTACGTTTGCAACTGTTCTGTTTCCCACCCAACCTACTCTTCGCTTCGAAACGTTCTCGCCGTCTGCGCTCCCCGCTACTGAAATAACGGCTAAAAATACTTTTCAGGTGAATTCGTCGGGTTTTAGGTAAAAGGGAAAATCTCTACCCTTAATGGCGGAAGTGGGGAGGGAGAGCCCCAGCTTTGCAAGCCTGTAGTGGTGTGGGGAGACGATTTTAAGCCAAAAGGATGGAATTCCTCGCCTGACCACAAAAGAGCATAAAGGCTGAGATGGGTGGTGATAAGTTGACGTCATATAAAAAGTCACATTAAACAGAAGCCCACTGATTATATCTTTGTGAGAGAGCGCAGTAAAGGCTTTGAAAGAAGTGGGTCCTTCTACCTCATTTTTACAGAACTCTGAAAGGTAGGATAGCACAACAGACCATACAATTCTGACATATTCAACTAACAACTCAGTTATCTTTGGCTGACCATTTTCTTTATTCATAGCAGCTCAGATAAACAATAATGGCAGAGTTACTCTTTATTTGGCGTGGCAGTTCTCATAGTTACAATATGAAAAAAGGCAACGTATAAATAGATCGGCGTTAATTTCTATATATAAAGCACCACTGACAAGAAGTGTACGAAACGTGAAAGCATTTTGAAAGTCGCGCGCAATCAAAACCGTTCCAGCCCGCGCGCGAATTCAAACTCGAATTGCGCGCGGGCTAGACACGAATGACGTATTGATTAGATTGGAAGTCGGTCAGGATTGCGCGCGCGCCTCCCTAAGCACACTGCGACTGATGTGGTTGTTTCCTTGAAAGCTTTCTGTCCTTGTTTCGCTTCGGTGGCACTGGACCCGTGATGACTTCCTTAAATAGGAGCGTTTCATAAGATTTTCTAAAATGACACGTTCTGAAGGGTTCAATAAACAGTAAAGTACGAACCTGACGTCCATAGAAGTATTTGTACTGGTCGCTACGTATGAAATCCATGACACCTTGGGCACCTCTGGCATCGAACTGTTCCTACAATATCGCACTTGAGTTAAACTCTGTAGCCATCCCAATCAGTTTCAAGACACCATCTTTTCTAGTAATTTGAGTTCTTGAAAATTCTCTACGCCACAACTTTTACTTGTTTTGAATGTCGGTAAGGCTGTCAACGAAGTGACTTCATTCCCACCTTCATAGAAACGCCTGGACTTCTAGTTTCCCACATATTCCACAATTTTTAGGTTACAGGGTTCCTTACCTGGATGCTTGGCACCCAAGGATTGTGCTCCAGCCTGAGTACTTGCTTATTTCCAATAAGGTCAAGTGCTCCAACTTCAGGTGGTAGTACGGTGAGACGATTACCTGTAAAGTACTGTAGAAAATATAAATCGCTTATAAATCTACAGAGAAATTCATGTGTAGATTCAGGACATGTTTGAACCCTAGCTTATCTCTCAAAGTGAGTAAAATTCACAAGTGATTTGGGTCCTATGGATACTATTAAAAAGACTGCTGCAGTAGTTGTTGTGGTTGTCTATCTAGAATTTTACCTTGAATATGCAACTCCTTCAAATTGGTAAGATGTCCGATCTCTCGCGGAATAGTCAGAAGATCATTGTCTCGCATGACTAAGATCTGAATAGGAAAAAACAGTCAAACTTCAGTTTATGTTACAAGAAGACTAGAGAAAACTGAAAAATCCCAGGAAAATTAGTGAAATTTCGATAAACCTGGAGATTGCGAAGGTTCATCACATCACCGGGCAGCATCTCGAAGTCGTTGTCGCCCAAGTAAAGAGCTCTCAGAGTTTCTGAAAACATAGAGTTTCGGTACAAGTGAGAAATAAACGTATCAGAAAAGAAGAAATGAGTTTCGATTTGTTTTTCATTATAAAAAGTTTCATTGAGAGGAGATTTTTGCTTAATGTAGAGGGAAAGAGGCTATGTGTCGAAAGAGCACAACCACGGGAATGGCGGACTTCGACTAGAAATTTCACGGACACCGTCACACACGAGGCAGAAGCTTCCCGCGACTATCGCAGTTACCCACGCGGGTCTAAATGGTCTAAGCTCTATCCTTTGCACGTAAAGCTCCGGGTGCAAAGTTCCACACATTCGATCGATTGTTCACCTCTGTTTACTCTAAATGGTTATCCCTTCTATTGACCTTATCTCGGAAACTCGATCAGGTTAAGTATCGAGATTCACACTATAAGCGGGTCCTTCCGAATTCCGCTGCGAACCTTATTGTGGAGGGCCTGGGAAATAGAAATTGTTCTAATCATCTCCCCGTCTTCCCCCGCCTTATTCTGCTTCACTTAACTTTGGCACACACAATTTGACTCTAAGAAAAGCCTACATTATTATCAAGGAACTAATAAATGAAAGTGTAGGATATAGGATAGAAGTGGAAACAAAAAAGTCCAGAAGAGTTGTCCTACAGGATCCAAATAAACAAAAATGACTCGATTTAAGTGCCTCATAATGTGTAACACTCACCGATGAAAAAGAAATTTCCAGGAAGACTTCGCTCATTCAGGTTGTTATAAGTCAGATCAAGAATTTCGAGAGATTTGAATGAACCAAATCCTCTTGGTAGAACAGATAGCCGATTCATTCTGGAAATTTCTAGAATTACAAAATATGCAAAGTTTGTCATGAAAGAATAAGACATAAAAATAAAGCAGTTGATCGAAAAACCAACCCAACGTTAAGGATACGAAGCTTCGAAAGACTGGAAATCGATGACGGTAGTTCTTCGATTAGATTGTTCCATAAGGTGAGAACCTAAAGAAAGAAACTTTTACGACTGAGCTTATGACTCAATTGGCCACCTATTAACTATTTCTGCCACAGATTGGGTTCTACATAGAAACAGAAATTTTCAGTAGAACTTCGGCTATGCAGGGACGCAAAATGATGCGTTTCATTCCAAGGGAAGAAAACCTTTTTTTATACTCACCAGAGATCAGAACACGTTGCCTTCTGTTTCGAATGACACTACATAAAACTAGACTTCGTCCGACTACTTCATAAAACAAAATGGCTGCTTTCATACTTCACAGGAACGAAGGTTTAGCAAAGAAACCTGGTTCCTACAGTGATCTTACCGTGGAATGAAATGCAATATACGCAGAACATCACAGACAGCATGTTTTATTCCACGGCTTAACCTCATATGTCTTTATAATTGGAGAATGGGACCTCCTTCGGAGGTGAAACAAGTACAAGACCAATAAGTTGACCAAAATTCAGATCTTAAATATATTTTGGATGGGCGAAAGGTAAAGCGGGAATTACGCTGATATTTGCTGGATAGCTTCACGACAGTTTATTCCTCAAAGATCTCTACCTGACCTGAAGATTCTCGAGATCCGCAATATTCGGTGGGATCGTGGTAAGTTTGTTGTGACTTAACGTCAGTCGGGTGAGGTACGTCATTTCAACTGAACATCATAATTAAGTGCCAGCAGATTATCCAGTATGCAGTATAATGAAAGCACAGTCTGAAAAGGGTCAAAGCAAGAATAAAGTTGTAAGCGCCCTTACACAATCGAGGAATGCCATTCAATGACGTCAAATTCCTATCGACATGATCGAGTTCCGTGTTCGGCTCGTCCTTCCTCTTGTCCTTCGGCATCGTAGGCTAAAAGCAGATCACTGCACAACTTATTGATTGGTCCACTCTAGAGGGAGCTCCGCGTAAAATCGATACACAACATAAAACACGACTAAAGTGCGCTATTTCCGTGAAAATGTTCGATGAGGAAAAAGATCATTGCGAAATGAACGACTCTTCGTTATATCCAGAGGGAATAGCAAATAAGATGAGACGATTTTTTTGGTGACTGGTAAGATAATTGACGAACTGACAACGTCATTTAGTTTGTAAATTGCCTAAAACTTTTCGAAGAGGAGAAAAATGTTTAGATGTCCAACAAAACAAGACTTTGAATTAATGAGTTATGCTTCACTATATTAAATATTACGACCTTACACATCACTGTGTTATAATTTATTATTTTAATATCTTATATGCTATTGACTACTCTATAACTAGTCCAGTAGTCGTCTAAAAGTTCAAGAATAAACCAACCCAAAGAAGTTCTTGAAAAAATAAATATTTGCTCTAACAAATCAATAGTAAACAAACGATATAGCTTGATGGAGAAATCCATTCGTCGTAGGCGTGTAACGGCAGCAGCCGCCAACCCCCAGCTGGTGGGTGGGTGGCCCTACGCTGTACACATCACGAAATAGTCGGGCAAACAGAGAGCTGCAGACAGATACGACCGCCCGCTATGTCGTCCGTTGGTTGGAGCTCGGGGGTGAACGAAGTGTGAGCGGAAGAGATGGTCCCATGGCTGATTGCCAGATAGCATGAGGAGTCCCTTCCTGAGCCGCTCATGAGGTCCGACTGTTTCTGACTTCTTTGGGAAAATCCCGCACTTTTTTTAATGAGATATGCCAAAAATAATAAATGTAGAGTAAGGAACTCTTCAAAACACTACATGCCGTCAACTCCTGTGCACAAGTTACTGTGGATATTGAGTTGAAACTGTGCATTTACTCTTACAATTGAGCCGTGCAAGAAGGACAGCGATTCACTTTTCTAGAGCAACCCGGCTCAGTAGGATTTCCAGCTGCTGTTTCTAATCGTTTTGTGTTGTTGAAACAAACCAACCAAATCGGAAAAAACAACTTAAACTGTACAGCTTCGAAGTTCACTTCCGATGTCAACTGACTAGCTCTTTAACCTGCCTGCCTACCGTAATTGAAAAGTAAAAAGAAATAGTTTTTTGTAAGTAGAGGTACATAATTGAAATGAACCCTTCCGATGGCGCTTCTGAGGTTTCATTTTGTTGTCTCCAACTTATGACGGTAGATCGTGCTGAGCAGATGTTGGGGTGTTTAGGAATGCCAGCCATACTTTGCGTACAGTACACCCATGAATTCTCCATCTGCCGTGCCTCAGGAAGGTTTGGCGGTATTCTTCTCCACGAAATTGATCCTTTCTACATGATGGATAACGAGTAACTTGTGTGTGGGTTGTGAAAGCTGATCTGGTTGGACCAAAAGAAGTATCCCTGTTAACCAGACCCCATGAAACCGGCTAATCGTTTCCACATGAACTCCATCACTTCACAAAAGTCAGCTCAACACTGGTAAAGATTATGAGAGGTTCACATACAACTCGAGATCCAACCGCAATTTACAGATAGGCCGTGCTCTCGAACTTTTCATTCGTTATTTATCGTTACGAGGTGCCCACATGTGGTCCCTACGGCGGCTCTGTGTCCCTCCGTTCAGATCATAACTTTTTACGGGTGTAATTCTTTGTGTTTGAGGTTGATCTTGGTGACGGGCTCCTACTTCTTGGCCATTTAACGATGAGAGATGCCATGATCGCTGGAAGATTTACTCAACCGGTTTATCAAATTCTCAGTGATAATCTAATCTTCTAGCGCCTACTGTTGAAGAAGAGAAGTGACCCCGCAACAACATCCGCACAAATGAATGAATGGAACACAGGAGAGTCTTGAAACAAACTTTAACCCGTAAATTTCAACAATTTCATGAAAGATTAAAGTTGAAATATTTTGAAAAATTGAAACATCATGCAAAATTCGACCGTTATTGATGAAAGTGAAGAACAAATGAAACTACTGTGAGATCACTAAGAACATGCGAAAATTTCCAAAATGGGACTATCTCGAAAAGGGTTAGCTTCACATAAAGTTAGCCTAAGACGATCCGTTCTTCTATAACAAAACTACAAATGATTAGGTCTGGTGTGCGCTCGATCAAATCCTGCCATCGCCCTTCCTACGATTCACCAGCAGGCTTCGAGGACATTCGCAGGAAATCAGCCAAAACTGCTGCTGTTCATGGCCATAAAATCCTAACTCCGACTGTGATCTTCCCGAGGGGAAAATCATCTACGGAAAAACTCAACAACGACAACTTCTATATCAAGAAATTTAGATCAAAACACTCAACTCAACTTTCTTAGGGTAAGTATTTTGAATGGAAGCCTTAGGATTTCAGCGCCTCCACAACCCTAACCAGGTCGGAGCCCACTTTCGATAGATAGAGCATGGTCGACTTGAGTCTATCGTTCTCATCGATTGCACTGGTATGAGCTTCAATGATGTCTTGCAATTGTTTGTCAGGGCTGAAATTGACATTAATCGTGAAGAGAAAGATCAAGAGGTGTGTATAGAAAAAGAACGACTCTCCATAACGCGGGCTCCCGAACACATATTTATATGTGCATAGAAGCGGCAAA